GCCTTAGTCAACCAATCCAGAATCGATTCACCTTGGGTGTCACAAACGCACTTGGGGTGTGACGTGGGTACGTGCGCTGCTTGACAGGTTCTATGCGATCCGTTCTAAAAGAGGAGAGGTGTGGGAAACAGACCGAGGCGGCCCAGGACTCGTGCGAGGGCATTGCAACAGCACTGAATTAGAAGAAGTTCGGATCTTTGTCAGAGAAGCTCAGGGTTGGGCAGTGAACAGAGCAATGGAGGGAAAAACAATTAATGATGTAGATAGTGTACGGACAAAATTTTATTGTATGATGGGTTACACAGTCCATGCATGGCATAAGAAGGAGCACAGGAACGCAAAGTTAAGCACTGTGATGTGGCCAGTTAAAGTTTGGTCAGATCAAGGATGATAAAGTAAGCGTCAAAAACAATGCACATGGAAATCATCATATGGACAACTCCGGGATGTAACAATCGATCACCCAAAACCCAACACCGACTTTTCATACAGCTCAAAGAAGGTAGCGCAGTTTAAAGGTAAACGGAACTGCTTAAGCTACGAGGTTACGTTTAACACGCGCCAGAGGTGGGAATAGGACGATCGTTAGATGTGCATGTTATTTATCGCTGAGTTTTCAATTCTGCTTTCTTTGTATTCTACAGGTATCGCAGAAAATGCCCATGTACAACTGGAATCGATAGATCAGTGTGAACCAAACAAGGATATGCAGACGTTTCGTTGTGTCACGGAAACCTCGGAGCTTTGTGTTTATTTGTATCTCTTCCCAGTGATGTATCCGCATACAGCAGCTACAAAATTGCTAGTTATTCGCAATTTAAGGTGAGAATGGGGGACACAGTATGCTTGAGATCAACATGTACACACAATTAAGTTTGTCGTTACTCACTGAGGTCAACTCAAAAACACTGATAACCTAATTCATCTATGATGGTGGTCAGGCGATTTAATTCAGAGTCTACTCTTTTATCCAAAGGAGCCACCAAAAAACAGCAACCAAAACCGGCGCATGGAAATACTTGGTTAATGCTGGTAAAAGCCGAAATGGAAACAGTGATGTACTGCTGGTCCTGAGGTTCGAGTTTTGGACCCCAACACTGTCCCCCAACTTTGTTGAGGGACACCTTTACTGTCAAAAAACGGCTCCATTATCTAAACAGCATATTCCTGTGACCATTCGGGTTCACCTGCCCAAGTTACTATTCATTCTAGTCATTTATACTGTCACTGGTGTGTTTGTTTGTGTCGTTTGCATCTGTCACAATCACACGGAGACTAAATCCAAAAATTAAAAAGGTCAAAAGATACAAAAGGGAGTACGTCCACAGTATCTAATGTACACAGGCAAAACGGAAAAACCATCAATTATTGAACACTGGGCATAGATCAATTTTTGGCATCAAATAGTAAAGCTGATCAAAGTCCGTTCTCGAGCAGCCGTTCTGAACGTAGATAACGCGGTTATGACTGATATGTATCAGACTAACCTTCCCCACATGAGGATTTACACTTTTATTTCCAAAATGCGCTCAGGGAACGCTCATATNAAGAAAGCTAGCTTCTCGACTATTTCCAAATAGCCACCGCATTCCTCAACATTTCCAAACACAGCTTGCAAGTCTGGTTGCGTTTTCATTAAAAAAAATAGCCGTATACATAAGTGTGCATGACTGCGATAGTGATAGTGAGGACAAATCAATCGGTACCAACCTCATCCAGTCAAGGAAGCATTGACTTTATCTGAACTCTGTTTCACTTCCAAGAGTATGAGCCGCAATGCCGATTATTATCATCCTAAATAAAAAGAACTCAACGAATTTGTTTGTCTCCTTATATTATGGTTGAATAGGCTTCCTCATCGCCTTTGTAATGTTTGCCGAGGTATGTGGTTAGTTGAATAAGGTCAAGCGTGATCAGACTATGACTGAATGTATGAATGTTGAAAAATATTTATTATAGGCTTGGCCGTGTATCACACTTTCCTCCTTGTTGGGAGCCTCAGAGCCAGCCTAATGATAGGTTAAAGATACCGACTAGTGTGGCTGTGTCATGACTAGTGACACTAGTTCGTTATTTTTGTGAACATCCAGTTAATTCATCTCCTTGGTCTCGGCTTATCTTACATAGATACGCTCCTCCTATTTTTGTTCGACCGAACGAGGAGCCGAAAGACAGTAACCGAAACCCGGGTCAGGTTAACGAGTGTGCAGGCTATCCCTGAAAGCGCATCAGAGAAAGATTGTAAACTCACAGTGAAAATGAGGCATGGGCAAAAAGAGAGTTCAGCAATCCAATTGTAAAACAGATGCGGAAAATTTTAGCGTGACATGTCAGAACTCGGTGGGGCTTTTATCTGGAGTTCTTTTCCGCAGGGTTGATGGCTCTATGAACATTCTAAAACTGACAGGTCTCATTCGAATAACCAAAGAACTTGATATTTTTCTTTCGAAATTCAAGTCAACTAATCCCAATAGGTGATTTCGAAATACCTATTTAACTTTATTTGGCTACTGCCCTTTCAGTTACATCTTCGGCAACAAATAAAATCCGAAAATATAGACCAGAGAATTAGGATGTTTATGGCTGTTCAAGCTGAAATATATTTAGCACCAACCTAATCCCTTTAACCACACAGGTGACTCTAATAAACCTACAGATGGAGTGAATATTCAAATCAAACTACAGCCCATCAACGTCGGATCTCACGTGACAGTTTGGGCTTGCTACCGAATCGGCCAGTATTGATAAGCCCAGTGTTTTACTGAGCTGTATGAGTCATCCGGTTTTGCATAAATGCAGTCAGCCCGTCCCGGTTCACCCCAGACCGGATTAACACACTAGCCACGACACCGAAACAAACCTTCGGATTGCCAACACTCAATTTATGCAGTTTTGCAACGCACACACTCTAATACGACTAAGCCAAGTGGTCACAGTGATAGAACCACTATTTTTTCTGTCTGTCTTTTGTACTTCCTTTTTTATTCATTGCATATAAAAATTGCGCAGTCAACTTTCCTTTAGGGGGCTGCGGCCAGACAAAGGCAGCATGGAGAAAACACAGAAACATGGAAGACGGGCAGTAATGGAGCGAACCGAGCCCCGGACTTCCGGTGACCTAACCACTTGGCCACCACCGCCCAGTGTGGCTGGGTGGTTCAAGTGTAACATAGTTTCGAAGACCACCGAGGCTTTCACGATTGGCTGAGCAGCAAAATACTTAGCCTTAGAAGTTTATTCAACGGATTCCGAGGTATTTCGAAGAAAACGCCGCAAAAGCACGCATCACCTAGATCTAAGTTGTTTGCACGCTAATCCGTCGGACAAGCCTTCCTAAGACATCACATATCTTGGGTAAGTCATAATTCATCCTAGGTTATATCTCATACATATATAGATGCATATTGAAGCATTATGTGATCCTGTTAAAAAGGTCATCACTTTCATCCTCTGTATTTTCCTATTTCAGTCACTCGGAATTGTCGTACGAGTGGATTATCACCGACCAGACGTTAAGCCCCGATTCAGGCGCGCATGGGTCCGGACAGTGCAATATTGATCGAGAGATCTCGACCCCGTTTGAGGATTCGCGGGAAGAAAAAACGGTCGATGTCTTTGGAATTCATCCGAAAAGTGGTCTGCTTCAACCGGACGGCTTGACCTCTTTCGAAGCGGTTTGTTCGCCGTCTAAGGTGAGTTTTTTCCTATTCCAAACGCAGTACAAAAGTTTTTGGTTTTTCAATTATGTGTATTTTGTTCCCTAGTTCCGGTTTATTTGGCGATTTTTTTGGCCGCTCCTTGATCGGTTTGCGATCGCCCACGATGATAAGTAGACCAACTGGCAAGTGGATTTTATGCCTCGGATTTTCTTGGAATTTCCCACACACACAGCGAGTGAAGTCAAGTAATGCTATGTGGATATTTCATTTTAGGCTCGATGATTTGAGCCCGGGAATTGGATCCACTCAGCAAGAGACACGATTATTGATTCGATAATTCACTGACATTTTTGCTACACCTAACAAAGGGAAAGTGAACTGAAAATCTAAAAACGACTTTACCATTGTTGCAGCTTGGTCAGTGATCGTGAATTTTATCGATCCATCGACCCCAGAATTTCACCAGTAGAATGCATGCGTTCTACTGACGGGAACATTTTGAAAACAACAATTCAAATCAACCCAGCCTCTGAAAGATTTTGTTCCGAATGTTACTACTCTGTAAAAAATACGTTTTTCTAGGCAACGCAAATCTCATTCGCAGCTCGGGAAGTGAATTTGAGAAGAACAAGTCTCGATGAATCATGGCGGTGATTCTTTATTGAATGTTATGGGTTGACCCGTCTGACCTCAATCAGCTGGACGCCAGAGTCTATTTGAATTGTTTTTATAACGAAGGGTATATGAAAGAATGGACAAAATTTCCCAGAAACAATCGACCGATTTCGCGGTTCTTGCCACTCGTCAGGTATGCCTTTCCGGTTTTCTTTTATCTGGTACAGTTGATTGAGGTTAGACGCGTTCAACCTACAAACTAAATACCGAACCATCGCCATGATTCAAGGCTTGTTCGTCTTGAATCAACTCCCCGGGCTGCAAATTAGATTTGATTTGCATAATTCAAATCGGGAGTTCAAATATAAGATCAAACAAAATAAAACCGGATACGCATATCTAACGAGTGGTAAGGTCCGCGAAGCCGGTCACGTGCCTCCGGGAAATTTTTTTCCTGTCATTCATATAATACTCATTAGCAAACCGTTTATCTATCAATTGCAAATTTAAACCACCAACTATTGCACTTCTGTACACCGGTTACGTTCTTGTCTAGTAGATAGATGCCCAACGTGCTTCAGTGTGAGCATAAGCATAGTCACATTACTTAGTCCAAAACACCCGGGTTATTCAACCAGCGATGGGATTGACTAACTGACCCATAGATGAGTACACCTTTTCGCATTAAGCTTTAGCCGAAACCCGCAATCCTTTAGCCTGGACCCACAATCCTTTTGCCTTGAGCTGTAATCCTTTGGTTCCGACGCACAAATTTTGGTGATACAGCTGTAGGTGAGTCACGTAAAAAACTACATGAATCAAAAGGTGATAGATTAAAAAAGTGAATGTTTCGACGCTATATCTCCACTTAAGGTGAACTCCGTTTTTAGAGATGAACATATGAATAGTCCAAGGATAATGGATACCGTACACAAAATACACCGTTATTTACATCTTTCTCATCAAACTTTAGCCAAAACTCGAGATTATTGAGCCTCGATCGTCCTAATTGTGTCAAATGTTGCAGTGTTGATAGACTGATGATAGTAACTGGGGTGCATTTTTCTGAACGGTGTTTATCATCGGCCTGTTGATGTATCCATCACTCATAACCGGAGTTCATCTCAACTGGAGATACGGAACGGTAAGCACGCACGTTTGTGTAGAATCACTTTTTCATTTGTTTCATGACTTGTAAACGTACAACAATGTAGCGTTCGCGTTGCATTTGAGATTTTCACTCACAGGAGTAGCGCATTTCAGATTTCCCTCGTAGTACCGTCATACGGCATTCAGCTCGTATGGAATGGAACTATAAAAACACTCCATGATAGGCAGCAGTAATATTTTTCTTACTTTACCTGTTTTATTTGTACTGATCTAAAATATGGATAACATTCAATCAGATCAACCGAAAAAGCCCTATCGCTTCACCAGCTCGTAAGACCAACGGAGATTAACTGAATGTGCACCTATTGATGATGATTTGAAAGAAGTTGCCAAACAACTCAGCATTAAGACCAAAATATGTGGTGCTATGGCAGCCACTGATCGGGAAAAACGCTCAAACATGAATCTTACAGCGATCGAGTAACGCAGCAATAAGGCTGTATACTGACGAAACGAACTACAACATATGCTACTGTCGCAGTTGCGTACACTCCAAGATGGGCTGTGAAGCTGTTTGAAGCCTCCCATCCAATAAAGGACTCAATTTGAACACAATAGCACGTTGGTCCGTCGCTGGTATCCAAAGATATGAATGTCAAACAAAAACTATTTGGCATGTTTTTAATGCGTTTCTATCAAGCAGCTCCATTTTAATCGCTATTGAGTAACCGAATGTTTCAGTTGTTTTCAACTTTGACAATGCACCCGTTCATCGGAGAGCTTTGGAAGCGCAGTAAAATGCTAACCATAAAATTCGATTTCTTCCACCATAAACTAGTACCGGAAGAGGCCTTCAGTAGATTCAGTAGATTTAGATTTAGATAGATAAGTTTTATAATTCTTTACTTCACTTAATAATCAGCACATTGAAAACTTGTTCACTGAGGACAATGAAATCATACGAGGTTTGCCAAATGGTTTGACGATACGGGTGCATCAATCCATATGTGGTGCAAAATTTGATACCATTAGGACGGTCAGCTGGAGTTTCATGGAGCTTTGTTCTACCAATCACCTAGAAATTGACCCAACTGTTTTTCTATGGTGCATCTCCAGCGCTTGCAAAGCCAAGTGTAAATCCCGTTAGCTGGATATTTGAGTTACCTGTAGTGATCCTAGGCTACGGAATAATGCCAGCCACGGAGCGAAGCGCTACAGTTTCCAGACAATGAACCACAGGTCAATCGTGCCAACCAATCAGAAATAGTGCAGTTTATACAGAAGCTGTACGACGTTAAGAATGCAAGCAGGCCATTGGTGGAGACTTGTTTAACCAATAAACTTCCTGTGCTCATGATATTTAATCCTACTGATTGTTCTCAATAAACGAGCCGCTACTTCTGTGACCTTTTTCCGCCGTCTCGGTGAAGGGGAATCGCAGCGTACGATTGATAGCGCGATTCTGCGATTCATTTGTGACCGTGATTCGTGATCCGTAATCTACACCTAATTTGATTTCTACAGAATCTTTGCATCAAGCACTGCATCTCATCCGCTCACTAAGTTGTAACTGTCTTGGTATACCGTTCACCGTCTCGGTCCGCCTGTTGAGTCGTTTATTTGGGCTTGGCCGGTGATGTGTACCTCAGATCCTTAGGGTCACAGGTGAAGTTTGAGTAATAAATGGATAAAAGGACACTCCCTGCCAAGGGACACGACAACTAACCAGATTGATGGTGCTACTTTTTTCACACACCGTAAACTCATTAGAAATATATGGAAGTAAAGGGGTGAAAATACGTAAAATTTTAACAATGACTGAGGATGATATATAAAAGAGTGAAATTTTAAACAAAACCCGGTGATATGCGTTAAAATATTTACCTAAAATCCAATGTGGATGTTGTCTGATTTGATCTCAAATGTTTTTCACATGTCACACATCAATACCCACAGGTTGGTGAATTTTTCGCCACCTTCCGATTGGTCCTAACAAATGTACCAGCTCTGCACGAGACTAATGACCCGGTCACGGTCGAACAGGAACCCATCGAATTGGAGTTTCGTGCCAAAATAGTTGAATTGCCCGTGTTCCTGGAGCCAAATGTTCTTATTCTTCCGGGAAAACACTTGCTGGGCGTGCCAATACATCGATATGTGAAGGTCAGTTCCCGATAGTTTCTTTACACTTCATCATACACCGTTTGGATTTATCATATTTGTATTGCATTATATCACCTCAATTTCGTCACCGGGTATGAATAAGCTTGTCTTTTAATTAAAGTGGAATGTAACATGAACTGCAGAGTTAATTTAGTACCTATTGAGGAACTCTCATCT